TTAAAAAGACTGAAAAAACATGGTTTGAAGTCTCAAAAATAGAGGTGTTAGCCACCTCTCCTTGCTCTTGTTTACTAACTTTGTGATTCCTTGTTATTTCCTATCTTTTTGTGCTCTTTCACATAATTTTTAGCCATTGTTTTTTCATGTTTAGGGGTTGTTTAGGGTTGTTCAAATTCATTTAAGTAGCTTATGCCTTGAATACTTTGCTTGTTGTATTGTATGTCCTTATGACTTCGGTTGTTTATGCCTTAGACACCGAGTCATTCGAGTTGATAGCTTTTCTTTGCTTGGTTTTCATATTAGGAGTCTCATTCTAATAATCAATATCGCATAATCATTTTTGCAACCTCCCTCTTTTCTTCTTTTCTTCTTTTCTTTTGTTTGAGAGCTATTTCAAAAGATTGATGGTTATTGAGGCATGAGAAAAAGACCTATGCTTAGTGGCTTAACCTCTACGAAGGTTCATCGTCAAGGTGTAGTCTCTCTTTTTTGTCAAGGATCACTTCTCGTTTGATAGTTCTTCTCATGTAGTGGACTTAATTATCACATTGGACAAATTGGTTAAAGAATGGAAAGGACTTATAAAATTGGTTTAAAATCTATGAAACCGACATAAAGAAAAGGGATTAGAACAGTTGGATTCGGCCAGACGTTATGCCAAGTCCATAACTTCGAGAATTGTCAATTATCAATCCATGATATATTGATGAGACTTGAGGTGTATCTACCTCCCTCTTTGAGCCTTTATGATAGGAAGGAGAGGTGGTTGTCTTTCATTACGTTCATCAATTTTTGTCCAAACATGTTTGAAATCATTAAGCAATTAACTTGCTATCGTTGATGGTTTCAAACTCGAATTTGTTCTTTTCTTGAGTTTCCCATGACAAAGAAGAGTAGAAGGGACAAACAGGGCCTAGAAAGGCTTTGTCTGCACTGTTCTCACCTCAGAGCACAAAAATATTTTTGGCATGAAATTAGGGCACGGCCGGCTGTTTTTGGACCTAGTCGATCCCTAATGTTTGGTGAACAGTGAATTCTAGCAGAAACAAAAAGTAATGGCTGAGGGTGAAACAGAGCAAGTCTGGGCAGACATAGCAGTTTTTGGACACTGTGAATGCGATCGTTGTGTCTCATTGTTGCTTGTATTAATGTTATAATTGTAATTATTATTGTTGTAAATAAGTATTGTTGCAATTTCATTGTTGTAATTAGTATTGTTATAATATCCTTGTTGTAATAAAATTAGATAGCTATTTCATTTGAATATGTAATAAGTAGTTTGTTCATTAAACTAATTAGCCTCCATTTAAATTTGTAATAGTTAGCTTAAATCCGGACATTTGGACACTCATTCGGACCCTCTTGCATGAGGGTAAATATGTAATAATGGTGTTTGTCTTCCAATTTCCACTTCTTTCTCCATTTTATTTATCCTCTTATAATGGTAGCCTCGTATTTACTTAGCATTTTCCATGATTTGCATCCACTCATTTTGCATGCATAAGGTTCAGCTCATCATGCTAATCAAATGTCAATTTCAAGTTCATTACTCAAATATGTGCTCTATCGCATGCCGTGAATTGATTCATATGCCATACTAGTAGCCGAACTCGTTATTTACATAATGTGTATGTTGCATTAGTCATATTGCATTGTCTAGGAGCATGCATTTCTTCTAATTATTTCTTTTATTTGGCTTGCCTTTGAGTACTAGGTGAGCATTTCTCGCTTTAGCATATTGCATGGGTGTGATTGCTGCCATATCAAGCATATTTTCGATGAAGCTAAGCGCTTAAGTGATATACCTGTTTGAATGCCGGTAGATGAAAGCCTTTTTACTTAAGTTGGAATAAATTGATTAAATGTAAAATCCGAGCTCGTTTTTTCCAAGTGACATGTATTCAAAATACTTTTTCAAAACAAACATAAAATCAATGCGTTCCGAATTTTGTGAATTGGTCTATACTTGTGTGCATCACCTAGTAAAAATAGAATAATAACTAGAACAAGAGCATATAATGTAAATAAAAATCATATCATGATTAATACAGGCCGATCTTTCATCGGGTGAGTGTGGTGCTCAATTAATGACATTTCCCTCTCATACATAAGTTCCCAAGCCGAGACACTTTGGTAATGACGGATAAGTGGCCTTTGGCATGAGTAACAGATTTCCTAAATTTTTTAAAAATATTTAGGTGGCGACTCTGAAATCTGGCAAAACAGTTCATTTTTTACATTTGATTCAAATATCGATTTTCCAAAAGATTGTCGGGTTTGGACTCATTTGTGTTTATCTATTTCGCATTGCACTTGTGAAATCAGATTCAGAACCACAAAAGTTCGAACTGGAGGGATGCTCGTATCCGAAAGGAGCACGAAAAGCAAACTATACACCTATTTTAATTCATCTCATACATGAATGGATGTAACAAAATTCTTTTATTGATATAAAAATGGTTGAATTCTCAGTTTAGAAGAGTGTTCGCATTTATTACTTGTCACAAACATGATTAAATAAAAAAGAGATATTTAATGACAAATTTCTTATCCCCCATTTATATTTCATTTAATTTAAATTATTTTTTTATATTTCAATAAGTTTTATGAGTGACATAATTACTTAAATACTCTTAATAATAATAGGGGTGAAATGCGCATTAATATTCACATTGACAGCATAAAGGTTCCATGATGTGAATATTCACACTGTTAAATTTATTTAATATGAATGTTTACACCACCAAATTGCTAAGAGTCAAATATTTGTAAATGTAAAATTATTCATAAAATATCTTAAATATGAGAATTAAGATTTGGTGGATCAAATGCCCAAAATAAGACTTATTGGGAGCCTATAAATGCACTCCAATTGTTTGTTTGGACACCCTAATTTTTTTAAGGAAATTCTATTTACACACCACACTCAATTTTATTTTATTTTTATTTTTGTTAAATGTACACCATCAATTTTCAAATATTCCTAAAATATCCCCATCTTCTCCAATCCCAACTCTCCCAACTGTAACCCTAATCCTAACATCTTCCTATCATCAGTGTTGTCCCTCCAAAGCCATTCCGCCGCCACTCATTTCTCGTCGACGTCACCCTCTGCCCCATCTTCTGTCCTCAGCTTCTTTGCGGCTCTTCAATCTGCTACTACACCCTAAGGCTGTTCACGGTTCGGATTTGGACGGTTTGCGGATCGGTTTGGACCCATCCGCATCTATGCGGTTTGGGGAAAAAACAACGCACAACCGCCTGCAGTGCGGTTTGTGGTTTGTGCGGATAGGGTTCGCGGATGTGCGGGCGGTTGCAGACGGTTTGCGGATTGGACTTTTTTTTTCAAAAATTTATTTTTGAACCTTATTTTTTTTCTCATTTTGTAAATATTTATTTTGGGCCCTTTTCTCCCCATTTTCTAAAATATTCAAACATTAATAATTAATTAATTAAAACTTATAAAATTAAAAACACAACAAAATTAATTTGTAACACAAATAAATCATTCAAAATCTTAAATCAAATCATAAACTAACACAAGCATATATTTCAAAATCCTAAACTATAACTGCATATTTATTAAGGAATTCAAAATTTCAAATCACACTTCATCCAGGACAAATTCAATTATGTAACAATAATAATATGACCAGTATTTATTCAGTTTCAGTTGATATAATACTATTAGCAAATGTAATGCTAGAGTAAGTTTAAAGAATAAAGGGTACTTTGTTTTGGGCAAAAATATCTAGATGGGATATAAGAATGAAATCAACGGTTAAGATAAATAAATAAATAAAAGTGCGGGCGATTTCTTGTGGGTGCGGGTTAAACCCGCAATCCGCAAACAAGTCATATTTCAAACTGCATCCGCCCACATTGTATTTGCGAAACCGCTCATTTGTATGCGGGTTAGGCGGATTTGGCGGTTTTTGCGAATCAGATAAACCGTTGCCCACCCCTACTACACCCTCCCTCATCGCAGCAATGCATAACCCTTCTATTTCTATCCTGGCCCCTTACTATTTTTCTCCACAAACCCTAGATCTATAAACCCAAATCAATCTCTTTTGTCTCTCTCTCTGGGATTAGATCTTAGAAGAGCTGGGTCGCATTGTAGAGAGGATATAGGGTCGTAACGGATGATTGCAGCATCAGCAGTGAAGAGAAGGGTAACACGAGTTGCAGCGGCGACTAAGGGCCTCAGTGTGAGTTGCATAAGAAGAAGAAGAGAAGAGAGAGAGGCGATGGAGGTTGACAGAAGAAGAAGTCGAAGAAGGTGGTTGAAGAATGACCGACGTTGACGTCGATGCCGACTCTAGAACTAGAATCAGAATTGGAGGTAGAGAGTCGGTGGTGAATGTTATGTCTATGTCTAAAAGAGTAATTTAATAGAAAGATAAAATTGTAATAAAAAAATTTCGTAAATGGTGGGTACTCAAAAAAAGAGTAGTGTGTAAATAGAATTAGATGGATTTATATGCAGGTGGAAGAAAGGGAAAAAAATTACCAACATAGGGGTGCAAGTGTGTCTGTGGTGGGGTGCAAATGAAAGACTATGAGGGTGCAAGTGTCACTTATACCCCTTATGTATTGGTAATTTTTTTTCCTTTCTCCCACCTATAGGTAGTTTCTCCTGTATTTATAGTGTTCAAACAAATTCGTGCAAGTAACATACATATATGCGCGCGCACGCGGGCACACACGTATATATATATATGTGTGAATGTATATGTATGTATGGGTATGTGTGAGTACATTTAGAGAGAGAGGGGGGATAGAGAAAGATTTGTTTGCACTCCACCACAAACATACTTGCACCCCCATGTATTGGTAATTGTTTTCCCGCTTTTTTCCTAATTGCTAAAATAGGTCTTAATTTGCAACAAATTGTAACAAACATTCCCTAAAAAACCAGAGATTAAGCATGTTAATCTTTTCTATCAATACCAACAATATTCCAGACAAGCATAAAGAATTAAACTTTGCTGTTTCCTTCTTTTTTTTCTATCAAAACACACAAATACACACGCACACAAATTTTAAAAAAATCATAACCCATAAATTACGAATCACAAAGCTATCTATCTGTACATTAGTTTCAGTGAAGAATAAGAAGAATAATTAGAGAAACAACTAACTAAAAAAATCCACCTGTTTATTGCAAAATCAACTAACTATGTTCTAGGTTCCAGTGTTCTAAAGATCTCCAATACTATTCACCAATATATTTATGTACCCAAAAAGCCATCAACCTTCTTGTTAGAAGCAGCAGACAAAAACTTCATGCAGATAGGAGGTGTAGCCCCGGCCAGAGACAGCACAGCAGCCGGAACCCCCCACAAAGACTCACCACAAATCAGGCCTGATGCCACCGCTGGCACAAAGTCCTTCGCTTTCTGCTTATTCACTTTCTCCCACACAAAAAGTATCAAACTCCCCACACACATATCAATTGCAAAGTACCCTCCAAGGTAGAACGGTATCGCCATACACATTGGGCTTGGAATACACCCCCAAATCATCTCATTGCATTTGCATTGCTTCAAAACCTCGCGAATCACGTTGATCACAATGGCACCGACAAAAAATCCAATGGCAAGTTCAAGACAGTTCTTTGGTAACGACGAAATACCCTCTACTCCTAAAAGGGAAATACCGCGGTACATTAAAGCATAGGGCGCGGGGTAGGACCCGTCAGGGTCCCCCACCGCGTAAGCGCTGTAGAAGAACCAGAAGACCAATGGGGACATCACGCAGCCCATCGCGGTCCCAAGGACTTGACTAAAGAACATGGATCGAGGCGAGGCTAGGGTTGAGTACCCGGTTTTGAAATCCTGCATTAGATCAGATGCTGTTGAGACAATACTCATCATGACCCCACACGAGGCAAGGCCCGCGATGATTCCTCCGTGGCCGAGCCCAACCCACGAGCTGAAGATGATGATGGCGAGTTTGCCGTAGTTGGAGGCGAGGGACCAGTCAGTAAGACCGCACCCATAGGCGTTGCAGAAGGCGAGGATTGGGGCGATAAGGTAGGCGACGAGGATGTGGTACCATTTGAGTTGGGGGAAGATGACTGGTGTTACGCCAATGGAAATGGCAGCGAGAGCAATGTAACCAGCGACAGCGACTTTGTTTGGGATCTGATCTTTTAAGAAATATTCAGTTCTTCTTTGTTCGTCGTAGTTTGAGGATGATGATAGTTGTTTGTTGGTGTTTGAGTTCTGAGATATGAGACTGTGGAGTGTTACTACTATCATGTAGATGACATGGAAGAGACCATCACCAAGCATCATGGCAATTGCAAGGAAAACCTGTTGAAACCAACCAGCAACAATCAAAATGATCAATAACGTTACCACCACCCAAACTCAGTCATTCAACATAAAAGAATTGAAACTGAAGCAATTGAATATGATAATGATGGCTATTTGAATTACTTGGGTAGCAGTTATATATGGTGAAAGATAATACCCTGCCTCTCAAAGGCAAGATGCAAGTGTTTGGTGCAAAACCAGACACTAAACGGTCGAGTTCGGGGATCCTGAGGCAAGGCCCGTGAGCCGAGACCTCCGGGAACTCCAAACGAACACAAACAAGGATAATCACCGAGTGTTCAAACGGTGACGTCCAAGTCTTGAGGACGGTCAAAAATGGGGTATCTACAGAAGTCTGTAGCCTTGCCAATGCTTTGTCTGTTGGTTCATAGGCAGGGCGCGGTACTGGCATTCCAACCTCGACGCTTCCATGCGTCCGAGGAGCCAGCTGCTGTAAGGCAGACACTCTGTGTGGATCCCGTGCCCTGGCATCCTCCTTGCATCGTGCTTTTTCTTCGAGCACGGTTCGTAAGTCGGATGATCTGGGCAACTCTGTCTGTTTAGATCTGGTTTGATTCGAATGTGAGGGCCAATATGTGCTTCCTTCAGTGTATGATCTTTCAGATCTCGTCCTCTCAGACCTAGAGTGACGAGTTTTGGAAGACCAGGATTGAGTGTCGCCTGTCCTGAGGCTTCTGCTCTCTCCTTGTGAGGGTGTGGTATTCCTACCATGACTTTCTGAGTGGCGAGGGGGCGTCTTGTTTTTGCGCCCCTCTCCTGTCGCCACTTCTTTTTTCTTCATCTGGCGTTTCAAGGCCTCCATGTCCGCCGCCATCTTCTTTATCAATTCATCTTGCTCCTTCACGCGGTCTTCCAGGGCTTGAGGATCAATCCTCCTCCTTTGCCTGTCAGGACTTTGCGAGTGAGAGTGACGGGGGCTGTTAGTCCGCCTCCCCTAGCATCCCTCCTGGAGTTATGTCGTTGGGGCTCTAAGTTCGCCATGGGAGGGACAGACGGTAATCCTTCACGCGTTGCGCCCCCATCCGGAGTTAGCCCATCGACGGCGGACTGCGGCAATTCTTCAATGTGTGCCATTTGTTTGAAAAGAGGAGAAGCTTAATCAAGAGGTTTAGTTCTGTCTGTTCTTTCCACAGACGGCGCCAATTGTACGGGAAAGAAATACACCTTCTCGTATAATCCTGTTGACTAAGTCTGTGCTCCTCCGTACGACGTCGCTTTATCACCTGAAAACGCAAAAGTGAGCTAACCGGCGGGTGTGTGCCGGAAACCCCTCCGATGCCTAAGTCAGCAAACTTGACAAATAGACAAAGCTCTGTGTATTCAGAAAGCAAAATTGTGTGTTGTGTTACCTCCTCCAAGGTGATGTTTGTGAGCTTTTTATAAGTTTCGTGTGGCACAATCCTAGTAGGACTTTTATTCCTCCATGCAAAGTCCTTCTAGGATTCATTCTCCTGAAAGATAATGCTTATCATTCAACACCCCCCTCACTGCTTAACCCAAGTGAGATGGTTTTTACTATGGCTGAACTACCATATGACCGAAATAATACTGGCTATGCCGAGCCACAGAGTAGGCCGAACTATCCTTAGTTCGGTTTTCTCCTTCCACTCCTTATCTTGGTTAACTCCTGTTCAACCATGGTGTGTTTAGACCGAACTACCGAGTAACAAGGTTTTGACCGTTCTAACCATACTACGTCATGACCGGACTAACTCTGAGACCGGCCTAACTCCAAGTTGCCTCCGGACCGGAGTAACTTTACATCATTTTGGACCGAAGTAACTTTATCCCTTGGGCCGGATTAACTTTATCCCTTTTGGGCCGGAGTAACATTACGGCCTTTTTACCCAGTCCTTCGTTGGGCCATAAAGTCCATTTCACAGCTCGGCCCAATTTTCACCAAAAATTACCCTCTCAGTTTCTTTACAATTGGTTAGTGATATCATATGTCAATAATGACATGATATCACAATTATATGATTTTTTTACTCAAATTTTTACAAAATTTGATTTATCTTACCATTATATAATTTATTTTATGACTTAAATATATGACTTTTTTACATTGTCCCTGATACACTAGTTACACGCAATACTTTCTTTTCGATTTTACTCGAAATTAATTGTAAAATTTTATGTGAAATACTTTAGTAATAATTTATTTAAGTTTTTGTACTTAATATTAATTCAAAAATTATTATTATTTTCTTATTGTTAGTTATTGAAAAAAAATTTAAATTGTAATTAATAAGGGCCTCTTCTAATTTAATTTTCTGACTCTGCTACTGTATGTAACTATGTTAATAAATGTCTTCCTATCTATATGACGTTTTGCAAACATACACAATCACTTATAATCCGTGTTTTTATAAATATTTTTTAATTGAAACAGTTAACTTCACTCCATTATCATTACTGACATAAAGACAAACAAAGAAATAATCTAAGCTGAATTTAAATAATAATAAAAAAAAATCACATTTTTTGTTAGGTGACCAATTCTCATCATCATCCAAAACGTCATACATATTGAGGTTGCCTATTCTGTCCTTACCGTAACTTGATTTGAGACATACTAGTTCCATACCAATTAGACAATAGAAATCCATTTTGCAAATTTGAAACAATTTTGTAAATGGGTTTGGGCTTTTCTCAAACTTAAATATGAACTTGAGTATTATATTTAAGCTCATAGGGCCCACCACAGGTCCTTTTTGATAATCTAAACTATTTATCTTGCAGGGTCCTCTTTGTATATTATTCATGAAAAAAAAATTAAGTTGATTCAATAATCTTAATATTTTTATTTAATTGTATTTGTCTCTACAAATATGAACGATAATAATATTTTCAAAAATAGCTTATTTATTTTTTTAAAGACAAACGCGATAAAATAAAAATGGATAAATTACACCTTGCACCAAATTTCACTTTGGCCCCTACACATGAAATCATGACAGCCTACCCCCTCTATTTTTTGTCAAATCCCACTTTGGTCCCTACAGATGAAATTGTGGCAGTTAACCCCTGTATTTTTGGTCAAATCTCACTTTGGTCCTTACACAAGTATCAATGTCCTATTTTTGTTACTCAATTATTTAAATGTTTCACATAATTTAATCATGTGACAATAATGTGACTACGACATGAGGGTAAAAGAGGAAAATCACCTATATTTTTCACCAATACACACTTTTTCCAAAAATTTACATCAAATTATGATTGTATTGGGCTAAAACAAAATGTAGATTGTGAACTGGAGTTTTACATAAATTGGAATCACAAAACTCTGTTTTTCACGGTAACACAATCTTTTGTCTATTCATCTTCTTTTCTCTTTGATTTCTTTGTCGCATTTTTATTTTATTTTCAAAAGCTCTATTTTCTTACCTCTTCGTCTCAAATTTTAGCATATGAATATATATATATATATATATAGTATTATATAACTCTCATGTGCTTAACACATAGGACAAAGTATATTGGTAGGAAACATGGATAATTTTCCTCTCTCACCCTTATTTCATAATAACATTTTTGTCACATGATTGCATTTTGTCAAAAATTTAAAAATAAAGTATTAGAATAGAGAGATTGACTATAGTGATCCCGATTTTACCCCGACCTTTGTTGTGTTCCGGACTCGGATTCCGTGATTGTATGTTGTTGTCTATGTCTTGTTTCCTCCCTTTAATTCTTTGAAATTGAGTTTTGGGACTTGTTGGGTGAGTTTGGAATAGGTTGGCTGTTAGTTGGTATAATTGGTTGTTGCCCAAATTTTGGTCTGTGCGCTCGAGCGAGCCTTGAGTAGCTTGCTTCTTCGCTCGAGCGAGGTTTCTTGTGCTCGAGCGAGGATTGAGGATCTTCAGGTTTCTTTCCCAGATGCAGCTTTTCTGGAAGGGTGAAACACTTCGCTTGAGCGAGGCTTCTTGCGCTCGAGCAAGCCTTGTGAAACTGTTTCTTCGCTCAAGTGAGACTTCTTGCACTCGAGCGTGTGTTCGCGTTTGTGGCAAACCTGAAGTTTGCATCGTGCGCTCGAGCGACGTTTCTCGCGCTCGAGCGAGGTCACAATTGTGTCTGGTCGCTCAAGCGACAACTCCTACGCTCGAGTGAGGACTACGTATATCTGTTCGCAGCAGAGCTTTTCTGCATCATATTTTGATTTATTTTCATCCCAAAACCTTAATTCGGTAGCTCCTCTCTCTAAAACACTCTCCCTCTCTACAAATACTCCATGATCTATGGTCTTTCTACTCTACTTCCTTTGTTAAAAAGATAGAGTTTTGTGCGGGCTTCCATTTAATCCGAAAAATGAGGAGCTTGGCCATCTTCAAAGTTCCTCCCTTCTTCTCCTTTGAGCTTCTACATTTGAGGTAGGGATATTCTACTCTTTGATATGGGTTTTAACCTAGATATTGGTCATTTGTATATATGGAGGGATTTGGGAGTGATTTGGGTAAAAGTTAAGGTTTGGGCTCTGAACTAAAGAGGGGTTTTCATGTTGATTTACAAAATAACTTTGGGGGTTTGTGTATGAGGTTCTTTATTGTTGAAATGGTGAGATTTAGACCTATGGGTTGAAGTTTTGGAATAGGAAGAAAATTGCCCAAAGTTGAGTTGAATCAACTATTTATGTAAATATTGAAATTGGTTTGGAAATTATGAAATTAGGGGAAAATGTGATTAAATGGTGTAATTTGGTTTGATAAATCACACACCTACAAAAAAAATTAATAAATTATCTGTTGATAGATTTATTTATCTGTTTAGAAATATTTGTTTTGGGCTATCGATGGAGAATAGCTATGATTGTTGTAGAAACTGCACGAGGATTAGGAAGATTGAAATTAATCAATTGAACTATGTGATTGAATATAACGGTTTGACTAAACCATTGAATAGGTGATTTGATTAGTCATTGTATATGACAACGTGTTTAAATACATTGTATATGTGTCATTGTTTGGGAGGAGATAGAGGATGTACT